GGAAGAAATTTGACACGAAAGGGGTGCAATATTACAATTGTCAAGGTTTTGGCCATTATGCTAGAGATTGTCGAAGCAAGAAAGCTGCAAGGTTGAAAGATAGTGATGAAGCTCAGTATGCAAGAGCTGGAAGTAGTGATTCTGATGATGTGTTGTTACTGGTGAACACTCAATCGAACACTGAGAAAAACAACATGTGGTATCTGGATTCAGGATGTAGACCCACATGACTGACAATAAAAACTGGTTTACCAAGTTAGATGAGTCAGTCGAAATGGTGATAAAGTTTACAGATGGCAGGCATATCAAATCAGATGGTAGAGGAGGCATTTTGATTATCAGGAAGGATGGTAAAAAGGCTACTATCACTGAAGTTTTATATGTACCTTTAATGATAAGTAACTTGATAAGTGTAGGTCAATTACTTGCAAAAGGCTTCAATATGAAGTTAGAGAATAATCAGATAAAGGTATATAGGGCTGATGGGAGGCTAATCATGAAAGCACCATTAGAGGAGAACAAAACCTTCAAAGTCGAACTCAACACATCAGATGACAAATGTCTTGCTTCAAATGTAGAAGAAGACAAGAACTGGCTATGACATCACATATATGGACATCTAAACTTCAAAATTTTATGTATGCTCAATCAGAAGAAAATGGTGCTTGGGTTACCGTATGAGAAGGAACCAAAGCATATATATGAAGAATGCTGCAAAGCTAAGCAGGCAAGGAAGGCATTCAAACGTAATTTTCCTATAAGGTCAAGGAAAAAACTAGAGCTGGTTCATTCAGATGTGTGTGGACCTTTCGAAGTAAAATCCAATGAGGTAACAGGTATTTCCTTACTTTCATTAATGAATTCACCAGACATATGTGGATTTATCTCATTGAAAGGAATAGTGAGGTATTCACACAGTTCAAGAAGTTCAAGTTGCATGCTGAGAAACAAATTGGCTGAAAATTAAAAAAGTTAAGAACTGATGGTGGTGGTGAATATAATTCAGCAGAATTTGCAAGATTTTGCAATGAGGAAGGTATAGAGCATGAGCTTGTTGCACCCTATACGCCTCAGCATAATGGAATCGTTGAGAGAAAGAATATAAGTGTACTGAATATGACCATGTGTATGTTGAAAGCTAAGAATATGCCTAAGAGTTTTTGGGCTGAAGCAGCTTCGACAGTAGTATACATTCTAAACAGATATCCAACGAAGAAGATGATCGAAAAGACACCACATGAGGCTTGGACAGGGTCGAAGCCAAATGTAAGTCATCTTAGAATTTTTGGATCAATGTGTTTCAGGCATGTACCTGAATAATTGAGAAAGAAGCTGGATGATCAAAGTGAAATCATGGTGCTCATAGGTTTTCATTCGACTGGTGCATACAAGTTGTATTCACCAATTAAAGATAAACTAGTGATCAGTAGAGATGTTCTTGTAGACGAAAGTAAAGGATGGGATTGGAGTCGAAATGCAGTTCGACAAGAATCAGACACAGTCACAACTGTGTTTGAAGAAGATGAAGCTTCGACAAGTCAAAATGAACAAGGTGATAATTTGACTGGTCAAAATGAAGAACCACCTGTGCAGAATGAAAGAAGATCCACAAGAACAAGAACTGAGTCAACCAGGCTGACTGGATATGAGAGGTTTCCAAATCAAGCAATAGATGATGATGGTGACTTAATCGAAGAAGCCATGATGATGGCTGAAGCAGAAGTAGTTGACTTGGGTGAAGCCTTGAACAATTCGAATTGGTGTGAAGCCATGAAAGAAGAACTTAGAGCCATTGAGAAGAACAACACTTGGGAACTTGTCAAAAGAACCAACAAGAAACCAATTGATGTGAAATGGATCTACAAGGTGAAACGAAAGCCAGATGGTGAGATTTCAAAGTACAAGGCAAGACTGGTGGCCAGAGGTTTTCTATAACAACCAGGTATTGACTTTGATGAAGTGTATGCGTCTGTTGCTAGGATCGAAATAATCAGGATTGTTGTTTCGATAGCTGCATATGGAGGATGGAAGATGCACCAACTTGATGTGAAGTCAGCATTCTTGAATGGGCCTCTGGAAGAAGAAGTCTATGTCACTCAACCACCAGGCTTCGACGTCAAAGGGAAGGATTCGAAGGTTTACAGATTGAGGAAGGCACTCTATGGCTTGAAGCAAGCTCCTAAAGCTTTAAATAAAAGGATAGATAGTTTCCTAATCGAAGTAGGGTTCACAAAGTGTGTCTCTGAACATGGAGTGTATGTAAATGATGTCGAAAGTTCCAATTGAATCATTTTATGCCTCTATGTTGATGACTTACTCATTACAGGAGCATATGAAGCTGAGATAATGAAGGTAAAGTCAAAGTTTATGCAGGAATTTGAAATGTCTGATTTAGGGAATCTTTCCTACTTCCTGGGAATGGAATTCAAAGACATCGAAGGAGGAGTTTTCTTGCATCAAATGAAGTATGCTCAAGATATATTGAAGAGGTTCAATATGAGCAACTGTAAGGCAACTGTTACTCCATTAGAGACTGGAGAAAAGTTGAAGAAGGAATCAAATGATGAGATTGTAAGTTCGACCCTTTACAAACAAATCATTGGATCATTGAGGTATCTTTGCAATACTAGACCAGATATCTGCCAAAGTGTAGGATTGTTGAGCAGATTTATAGAGAAGCCTCAGGAATGTCATCTCATTGCAGTAAAGAGGGTGTTGAGATACATCAAAGGAACTATTGATCATGGTGTGTTGTTGCCAAAAGAATTGAAGAACAATACAGAGGTCGAAGTGCATGGATACACTAACTCGGATTTCAGTGGAGATCAAGATGAAAAGAAGAGTACTGCAGGGTACATCTTCATGATCGAAGGAGCTCCAACCTCCTGGAGTTCGAGGAAGTAAAGCATTGTGACTTTGTCTTCATGCGAAGCAGAATATGTGGTTGCATCATATGCTGCATGCCAAGCAGCACGGATCAAAATGCTACTTGAAGAGCTCAGAATAATGGAGTTGAAGATGAAGTTGTTTGTTGATAACAAGTCAGCAATAAATCTTGCGAATCACCCAATGTGTCACAGTCGAAGTAAGCACATTGAACGAATGTATCATTTTCTGAGAGACCAAGTAAACAAATGGAAGCTTGAAATAGAACATTGCAAGACAGAAGTGAAATTAACTGACATATTCACCAAACCTCTGAAGAAAGTGAGATTCAAATAGTTAAAGAAAGACATTGGGATGAGAAGTCTTGATAACATGAATTAAGGGGGTGTATTAGTTGGTTAATTCTTGTTAGTTGCTATTTGGGCATGGACATGTTGCCTATATAAAGGGGCATTAGTTTGTAATCCACATATACTGCAACAACAAAATAACAGTTTCAATTTTAAAGAGTTAGTTACACTAACTAACTCAACAATCTCTTTCTTCTTCTTCTTTTCACTATATTCATCTTTCTTGAATCTTTTGTTCCAACAGAGATTAGTGTCATATGCTGAATTAATGTTCTTTGTCTATCATATTATCTTTCATAAAATATGTTCTATAAATTATTTAATTGTTTAAAATATAATATTCAATTTTCATTTCGCAATTTTATTATTTACTCAAAAATCATGGTTATTTAAAAAATTTATATTCAAACTATTTTTTATAATTATATTTATCCTTAACGTTTTAATTTTTTCTCATAATTTTATGTATTTTGTATTACTTTGAAGAAAAATGTCAAATTTAATTTATTATCTTTAAAATTTGATTGATTTTAGAGATAGTGATGCAACTTACTATTATCAGTTTGTCTAGTATTTTTATATATTATTTATTATATAATATAAAGTTACAAGACTTTTAAGATTTAAAAAAAATGTATTATTTACTTGATTTCATGTTAATATTACAAGACTTTTATTTATATATATATATATATATATATATATATATATATATATATATATATATATATATATATATATATATATATATATATATATATATATATATATATATATATATATATATATATATATATATATATATATATATATATATATATATATATATATATATATATATATATATATATATATATATATATATATATATATATATATATATATATATATATATATATATATATATATATATATATATATATATATATATATATATATATATATATATATATATATATATATATAGTCATAATAAATTTAATTATAAAATATAAATAAAATATTAATATGTGAGATAAAATTTTAAGATCTAATCAAAGTTCTTAGAGTTGTATTACTAAAATAAAAATTAAATAAATTATTTCAAAAGAATATAACTTAATAAAATCTACAAAATAATCATGCGATCAATTGCACTAGTGGAGGTGTTCTTAGCACACATCTAAATAACTAAATATAAAATTTTACTTTTAAAAATTGAGCCTTAACTTTAAAATATTTTTTTTCATTTTTTGTCAATATAAAGTTTTTACATATAATATTTTTAACACGTGATGTGACTTTATAGTACAAATTAGCATGATCATTCTTTAATTTGATAAAAAAAATTCCTTATCCAATTTTTTAAAAATAAATTAAGAAAAATACATATTTCGATTTTTCAACAATTCATTTCGAAACCTTAAAAAAAAAAGTCATATTTCTCTCTTTTTTTTCGGTTTTTTTCTTTCATTATTTGAAAATTTCTTTCCCTTAAGTGTGGAAGGAAGGAGTCTTCAAAACTTCCCTACTTCACTTCCCCCTCTCACCCCATTCCTCTTAGTAACGTGTACATTCAAAAAGCCGTTACTTTCTATTCCTTTTTTTTTTTTTTTTTTTTTGAATTTTCTCGCATTCAATTCTATTTATATATCACACTATTTGTAATAGTATTAGAATCAGAATCTGTACGGTCCCACCCAACCCCACTACTCGTTTACTCCCAAAAAAAAAACATCATCGTTTTAAGGTTTCTCTGAATTTAAACAGACTTTTCATATTACTATGGAAAGCATAAATTTAGAAGAAGTAGATGAACAGAAGCAACGACAAGAATGTTGTTTGTACGAGGAAAGAGAAGTTAGTATTGGTTCTGATTGGGTGAAACAGTTCTTGGACATGTCGGATGAAGAATTATTCGAGGTTGTTACGTCAACTGAAGTGAATAAACCTAATGGAGATGATGAAGAGGATGACGACTGTGTGATTCTTGAGGGTGACCCGGAAAAGAAAGTTATGCTTGTGAATGATTCTCCTAATGGGTCTGATGAGTTGCTTGTAGTTGGGGAAAAGGGTCAGGTATGATTATAATTTGATTTGATAGTCCTGATTTGAAGGTGCAATACTTATTCAATGATTCATGAAATTGAAAATCTCAAATTATATTAGTCCTTTTATTGAAGCATACAGTTGCGGAGGTTCATTTTATTTCTCTACTTGCAGATTGCATGCAGAGACTATCCTCATCCGCGGCATCTTTGTGCTACTTTTCCTTATGATTCCACCCCTCATGACAGATATTGTGCCCAGGTAAAATGATCAATGGAATTGAGTATTTACTATTTATGCATTACCTTATGTTAATGTGATAAATATATGATTTAGTTAATTTGATTTCTAATTTTTATGACACGCAGTGCCACTGTTATGTATGTGACTCTCCAGCACCATGTCTGAAGTGGGGCAATGGCCTTTTAACTACAGATCATTGTCATGCAACTGATAAATCTGCGACTTGGAAAATTCTGAGAAAAGAATCCAACCTGGTTAAGACTGATCCATTGCCAGCTTCAACTAACAATGCTACTTTAGGTGATCTTGTGAATTCTCAAGATACCCATATTTTGCCCTATGATATCAAACGTCTGTCTGTAAATTCCATGTCAGTGAATCTGAAGTCAAGGGCAATGGCATTGCGTATGCGTCCGGTAAATCTCACTCTTCAAAATCAGACCTCTCGTCCCAGCCTAATAAATCTCACTCCTCAAAATCAGACCTCTCGTCCGCGCCCAGTAAATCTCACTCCTCAAAATCAGGCCTCTCGTCGCAGCCTAATAAATCTCACTCCTCAAAATCAGACCTCTCGTCCGCGCCCGCCCAGTAAATCTCACTCCTCAAAATCAGGCCTCTCGTCCGCACCCAGTAAATCTCACTCAAAATCAAGCCTCTCGTCCGCGCCCAGTAAATCTCACTCAAAATCAAGCCTCTCGTCCGCGCCCAGTAAATCTCACTCAAAATCAGGTCTCTTGTCCGCGCCCAGTAAATCTCACTCAAAATCAGGTCTCTCGTCCGCGCCCAGTAAATCTCACTCAATATCAGGTCTCTCGTCTGAGTCCAATAAATCTCACTCCTCAAAATCAGGCCTCTCGTCCGCGTACAGTAAATCTCACTCAAAATCATGTCTCTCGTCCGCGTCCAGTAAATCTCACTCCTCAAAATCAGGTCCTCAAAATCAGGTCTCTCGTCCGCGTGCAGTAAATCTCACTCCTCAAAATCAGGCCTCTCGTCCGCGCCCAATAAATCTCACTCCTCAAAATCAGGCCTCTCGTCCGCGCCCAATAAATCTCACTCCTCAAAATCAGGCCTCTCGTCCGCGCCCAATAAATCTCACTCCTCAAAATCCGGCCTCTCGTCCGCGCCCAATAAATCTCACCCCTCAATATCAGGTCTCTCGTCCGCCTCCAGTAAATCTCACTCCTCAAAATGAGGTCTCTCATCCGCGCCCAGTAAATCTCACTCCTCAAAATCAGACCTTTCGTCCTACTAATATGAACACAGGCTCTTCGCAAAGGTCTAGATTACAGAATCAAGCCTTGAGGTCAAACAAAATGCATCCACTCTCAGTAAATCTCATACCTCAAAATCAGGCCTCTCAGCAGATTACAGTGAATGCAATCAATGCATTCGCGAGGTCAAACGAAACACATCCACTCTCAGAGAATCTCGTGCCTCAGAATGCATTTTCCTCGCTAACTTCCAGATTACAGAATCAGATATCCACGTCAAATAATGTCCTTGGACACTCCACAGGTTCCAGTTTTGCAGTCCCAAACGGTGCAAACGACGGTAGTTATCACGAACCTGGATCTCCGTTGGTGACGAATAAATATCCTTCTCATGCTGCTTCAAGAATGTCTCTAGGTGTACGAAGTCACGTTATCCAAAAGAAGTCAGGACACAGAATTGGTATTGGGAACACCCCTGCAACTAACAGTGTTACCCCTCTCGATGCATCCGGCTTAATCAATCGTGTCAATCCACAACATGGTGATACAAATCACGCTGCTGTAACAGGATTTTCAAATACCGGAAATTGTTATGCTGAAAATAATGATATTTTGATTGCCCAAGCAATTGATTTATTGCTGACACAACCAAACCATAGTCCAGCATATGAAACCCAACCATGTAACCAGTGAAATAATAGCCAGAATGCGGATGGATATTATGATATTTGGGCGAATGATTATGTGGCTCGGCTAAACAAAAATGAGCATCAAATTGGAATTGAAAATAAAACTGTCATCAATAGGGGAGCTACAGTGCAAAATGTTTTCCAACAGAAACCTGATGGTGGGATTGAAAATGAAGATTTCCTAGCTAAAGACTCAAACACTAATGGAAACATTTCTTATGTTGAAAACTTAGTATCTAAGGATAAGGAGTCTAATACTCCATTTTCTGGAAATGCTCACCTGTCATTGGATGAGATCAAGCACTGGCTTCTTGATTCCAATTAATGTAGATGTTGCTTTAGAATCTTCAGTACTAGTGGCTAAGTAAAGCCAGGCTAACTATTAGTGGTTTTTGTCTTTTTGATTTTAGTCTTGTAATTTGAGGAAAAGATGAGGAATTATAGTCATTCAATAGAAAATCATTAGTAAAAATTGTTTCAAATTTTTTCTTTATTATTTCTTTTTGAAAGGCTTATTATTAAAGTTTTTTTTTTTTATAATAGTTATAGTTCCGATGTTTTAAAAACTGGATTGAATCGGCCGGTTCAATTTTAAACCGTTGTTTAATTCGATTTAGTTTGGACCAATAAATTATTAGGTCTATAAAATTGAGATAAAATTATTTCAGTCGTGAAAAATTAAAATAGCCGTAAAATTGAGACTGGTTTTGGTGAATCAGACGGTTTAAAAAATCAAATTTATTTTATGTTTTACTTCATTTTATTTTTGTTTAAATCTAAAAAATTAGTTCCAGCAAATATTTAATATTATATAAATAGAAAATAACTAATAAAATCGAAAGACATAAGACAATGTAAATGCAAATAGAAAGAGAAGAAATAATGTAATGTTTCTGGATATGGGGTAATTGATGTTGGTTTTGAAAGAGATGTGAAAAATTATGCTGATATTATTCGTATCATATTTATTTAAGAATTTTATTTTATAAATTATGATATAGATTAATTTTATTAGGATGTTTAATAATAAATTTATTTATTTTGTTAGTTTAAATTTAATCTATGATTCAATCATAATTTAATCGATTGAACTGATTGAACCTTGACCCGCATGTTTTAACGATTTTTTCTCTGATTCGATTTTTAAAATGGTTTTTAAAACATTGTATAGTTCGTCAATTATTTATCGCTATTCTAATTTTCTTGACTTTCATAACTTGGAGAAATGTTAGAATTTTTTTTTTCAAATAACCATTTTTTTCAAAAAAAAAAAAAACTCAAATCATATTTTCAAAAAAATACCAAAGTAACCACTTTTCAAACAAAAAAATTCGCCACACAGAGGAGGCGCTATTATGTGTGGCACATGCATACAAAATAGAGAGGTGGTGCAACACTGCATGACTTGTCCTCTTGTGTAATGTCATGCAATGTGGCGCATGCATGCATTATTAGAGAGGAGACGCCACTTTCTGTGGCTTGACAGTTGTATTTATTAATTTTTTTAAAATTAAAATAAAAGTAACTAAAAATATTTTATATTACACAATGCATAGATACATTTTTTTTCTGGACGTCCCCTCAACCTAAGCGGGTCCCAGTATGACATAAACGGTCCCTCCTTTACCTCATCCTTGCCTCACTCCTCTCTGTTGATTTTCCTGAGGTGTTTGGGGTATGTTCTTACTCGCTTGATGATATTATTATGTAACACCGAGCGTTCACAATTTTTTCTTGTTCGATGGAGTTTTCGGTTATTACGAGACTATTATGATATTTTCTAAGAAGACAAAGATTAATACCTTAGCCTCTAGACCCTTGTTCAAATAAACAGACTCCCAAAAGTTTCTCGCATATGACGTTATCTTGGTTAACTCGGCCATTGACAACCTTACCATCGATCGATAGACTAAATAACATGTATATGTCCTCTAGTATGACAGTACATTCAGCACATGAAAGATGGAAGGTTTGAATTTATGGTCTCCATCTTTCCACTGATGTGAGAATAATTTTATAGTCAATATGGTAATTGACTATGTTGAGTAACAGACCAAAACCAGCTTGTCGTAAGTACGATTCAATTTGTACGTCGTAAGGGACATACTCATGGACACGACAACAAAATCTTTTAACATCCTATTAAAAACATGAATTACGTATAAGAAATATAAGATTTATGTATAACAATCATAAGAACTACGGAAATCAAATTTGTCGATAATTAACATGTATTGAAGAAAATAAACTTACAAAAGTTTCGATGTATTGAGAGTTTCTCTATGTTGATCACCCATGGTCAAGAGAGCCATTTTTCCTTGATTACTCTTGTGTTCTTGTTGATGTTTCAAGAAAGAAATAGTATGTGAGTTATGATTGTGATGAGCATATAGAGTGAATGTTATATGTATTTATAAGAAAATATTGAAGAACACTATGCATTCACGTGAGAATGCTTTGCATGCAATTTACACATAGGCGTCACACTAGGTGGCACATGCTTTTATTTTCTACACTAAGGCGCCATTTGACATGGCTTGTTACTTTTTTCATGCGTACAAAGCTACAGCGTGGCAGTGATCAGATGTCATGCATACAAGCCTGTTGTTCACATGACAAGTCATTTTAGGTGGCACATGCTTACAAAATAAAGAGGAAAAGCCATCCTAGATGGCGCATGCTTACAAAATAAAGAGGATAAGGCACCCTAGGTTATGCATGTGTTGTATTTTTAAAGAGAAGCCATCTTGGATAGCGCATTAGTTGTATACACCCCATACTTTCATTAGTCTATTTAAGCGTCTGTTTAGGACACATTACTGGTATACATCCATAACTCACAAAAAATATACCTCAACAGATGGATCATTCACAATATTATACTATTGTTGCTCATATTAACGGTGAGACGTTCAACTGTGATAACTTCAGTTTTAATTTCTGTAATATTGATTTTATCCGCTTTTAGACAAACAAGAAATCAAGTTTTGCACGCTTCAAAGATAGACTAGAAGCCAAATTGCAGTGTGGTCCAGTTTACCAAATTCTTTACAACTTTCCATTTCTATTTGACAACAACCAAGTCAGATTTTATCAACTAAAGGTGCACGACGGTGATGATGTTCGAAACATGTTTCAAACTCATGAACAATCCAGGTTCAATGAGATTGAGTTGTATGTTTTATTACAATAACCTGATCATCTCAGGTGGTAGATCCTTCTCAAGACTTTGAAGAAGAGGATGAACCTGACGAGGACAACCATCCTGAAGTCGATGTTATTGACCAAGAAGAAGAAGATGATGAAGCAATGATTGATTTTATGGTCAATGATGATGTTGCAGATCAAGAGCATGAACCTCTACCTACGAGTCATGCATACGACCCTCCGTTTCACATGACAAACTTGAATTTGGGGGAAGACGAACCAGCCTCAAATATATTTCACAATCCTTATATGCAGACCGAAGGGGCCTTGAAAGTTGGAGACATATTTCGTACAAAAGAAGAGTGTGTTAGAGTTATCAAAAAATACCACATGGAAATTTTAGCTAATTTCAGTATAGATCAAACTAATTCAGGGAGGTACATTATTTTATATCTTCAAAAACCAATTTGTCCTTTTCGTTTAACTGAATCTTACAATAAGATAAGTGATTCATGGGAAATATGTACCATTGATCCATTCCACACTTGCATCACCACCGTTCCGACGTAGGATCATCGAAAACTTAGTTCTCAACTAATATGTCAAGAAATATCGCCTCTTATTAGCAAGGATCCATCATTAAAGGTGAGTACAATTATTTCTCATATCGTTACAATATTCAATTATACTCCCTCTTACAGGAAGGTATGGATCGCGAGGACTAAGGCAATTGAACTTGTGTACGGTAATTGGGAGGAATCGTACAAAGAACTTCCAGAAATTTTGGTGGCACTCAAATATTATGCTCTGGGAACTGTTATAATTTTGGAGACACTCCCGGCATTTACCCCAGACAGAACTCGTGTCAGTGAAAATGGAATATTTCATCGATTGTTCTAGGCGTATGAACCATGCATCAAAGGTTTTGCATTTTGCAAACCTATTATACAGATTGATAGAACTTGGTTATACAAAAAGTATAAAGGAACATTACTCATGGAAGTGGCACAAGATGGCAACAAAAATGTTTTTCTGGTTGTCTTCGCTCTAGTTGAAGGTGAGACAGGTGGTGCATGGAATTTCTTTCTGAAGAATCTTCGATTACACGTTGCTCCTCAATCCAACCTTTGTTTGATTTCAGACAGACATCTATCGATTGTGAGTGCATACAATAACCCTGATAACGGTTGGCAGGACCCCCTTCAACATATGTCTATTTCATTAGACATATCACACAAAACTCCAAGCTCTATATCAAAGACAAGACACTTCGAAAGAAAGTTGTTAATGCAAGGTATCCCTTAACAGAACCATCATTCTGACACTATCGCGAAGAAATATGGTTGACAAACTCAGAAGCATTAAGGTGGATCAATAATATTCCAATAGATAAGTGGACTCAGGCATTTGACATTGGTCAACAATGGGGCCACATGACAATAAATTTGGTGGGATCATTGAAATCTGTCTTCAAAGGCATCTGAAACCTACCAATTACTACTTTGGTTAGAGAAACATATTTTAGGATGGGGTCATTGTTCGACACAAGAAGTTCAAAATGGAGGGCAATGTTACAATCAGGGTAGTTGTTCAGTGAATGCATAATGAAATCATTTAACGAGGAGGCTGCCAAATCAAATACCCATAGTGTTAGTGTACACGAGACAATCGATCATAATGAGGGGAGACCAAGGGTGTAATATCAAGCTTCTCAAATAATTCTCAATGCATTTTGTTTTGATGAAGACAAACGATATTGGCAAGAAGGCAAAGATGTTGATCAAGCTAAAAAAATCAATGGATAAAAGTATTTGGTTCAAGCTCTTGGCAAATTTCATAAGGTATAATAACAATTCTTGCTATGAACTTAAGTCTTAGATGCTCAATGATCAAAAGAAGTGTTTTTATCTTGTCCAAACTTTTTCTCAAGTTTTCTAAGCAAAAATTCAATTTTCACTTGGGTGCAATCGATTTGCATGTTGATGCAATCGATTTCATGCTTCACGTTTTCAAAATGTTAGCTATTGTTTCTAAGTGCAATCGATTTGCATGTTTCTGCAATCGATTACTCTCTATTAAATTTTGCTACTGTTTTAAAGTGAAATCAATTTACACACATGTGCAATCGATTGCTCGCTGAAAATATTTGAATTTTTTTAGCTGTTAAAATCCGTGCAA